ATCCACAACCTTGAACGTCTCCCCTTTGGCCGATGTCCGGTCAATGATTTTAGCAAACCAAAATAAAATTATGGACTATATCCTACAATCACATTCATTTGAGCGATTGATACATCTCTATCTCCATTGGGCGTTCGATTTCTTTGTCATCATCACGATAGGAAACATCAGATGATATTCTTTTACTTACCAGCTCCCACTTTTGAGTAATCTGGAAAACATCATAGGTAAATTGAAAAATTCTTTTACATTGTATTTCGTTGCATATTACTGTGATTGATATTTTTGGTCAACGCGTCTAGTCTATCCAAAACCGCACAAAATAAATTAATCACTACGTACAATTATGTTGTCGCATCTGTGATGTCAACACCGTTCTTTGTGTCTTGATCATATTTGATTGATTTTATCACCAACTACGCCTTTGCCATATGAATCTGAAAGCATTTGCCAAAGTAAATCACATCTCACAGTAATACACACGTAATTAATCATATATATTTCAAAATTCCAATATTTATGCGTATTTCATCCAAAGAGATCTACCCATATAAATGGTATTGCTTCATTTGTTTGCTAGTCAATTATCATTACCACCCTACCCAAGAACCCTCTAAATAAATTTCAAATTCGTTCCTTTATTTTATTTAACGGATTTGTTAATAAAAATTACGAATGTATTATTGATCAAGCAATGGGCGAAGGTCCTCAGAAATACCCCGAGATTTATCTTTCCTTCTGCTAAAGGCTGTTAATATTCAAAAATATAATAAACAGAAAACTTGCCAAACAAATGGCGGCTAACACATACCGTTTGTTGGAAAACCTAAAGATTTGTCGTTAATAATATTTTCTAATTCCAGTGTTGGAGCATTCATTTTCTTAAATACGTACCACGTTCTTATTTTGCTTGCATCAAATCCTGATAATTTACAAAGCCTCCCAATATTTTTTCCAACGTAAGGATATTTTGAGTTTGCGTGATACCTGTTAAATATGTTAATATTTCATTTCTGCATTGTTCAAAACAAATTTTTGCTCATTACGCACCAATCTTCAAGTATTTTTTTCCCATACTTCTTTTGTGAGGTTCCACTTCCTGGCATAAATGAGTACCTTTTTTTGCGAACTTCACTAGGTGTAATTACCACGGCGAACTTAAAATTATTTTTTTGTTTTTTATTATCAGATTTCGAAGGGCAACCCAAACATTCGGTTTTTCTGGTTCGTTTTTGACTTAATCGTGTTATTTCTGTTTCAGAACTTTGAACCTCAATTCTATCCCAACATATACTCAGGTTTTGTTTAGCATCTGCATCCTCCAAAAAATTTTTATTGCATTGCTTTCTGTGGAATGGGCCTTTAGTAGTTTGACAATTATCTCCTGAATTGCAGTTCACCATTTTACTGCCAAAAATACGATGGTTATCGCCGATCGAATCACTTGCATCAAGTGGCGAAAATAAAAGATTTTGCAACAAATTGATTTCCAATCTTGATTTTACCATTAATCTGATATTTTGAGAAAGAACTATTATTTTGGACGCTAGATCTGATTCGTCAACCGAATAATTGTTCATTTTGCCATTGGGGCAGTAAAATGAATCGAAATCAACCAAATCCTAATAATTAGTATTATGTAGTTATAAAATCCATTCAATGTGAGGGCAACTTACTTTCTCTGCCAAATCAATTTGTTTTTTTGTTGATTCAGGATTAAACACTTCATTTGCAGTCAAACATTCCAAAGTTGCAATTAATCTACTATAAACATTTTGTAATCTGTTACTAATTAGCCATATAATTCAATCATTATGCAAAGCAACAATTATATGTAAAAAGTTAAACTCATACTTTTGAAATCTTTCAAAATTGATCTCGTCTTTATCAGTTGAGTTGGTGGATTCAATAATCTTTGAAATATCCATGATATCGTCATCTGCTCCAAAGTCATATCTACTAGACAGTGAAAAGAAAACGATGTTGCCTTATAAATAAAACAAATATAAGCTACCCTACCATCTTGTCATTGAATAAGAAAGGGACTTTTTCCGTATGGGTGAGACGAAAAACCCCCTGATTCAGCGTTCAAGTGAACCGATTGCAGATAGATCGTAATGCAATTTTTTAATAGATTCATGGAGAATTTCAACAATTACAACTACTTTGCCAATTTGGAATCGTTCCGTTTTTACCCCCCTTTTTTTTCTATGAATATTACAACATCAAATTTTTGTTTAACAATAAATATCAATCTTAGTGAATCAATTCAACCAGTGCAAAATCAATATTGAAGCTCAGCGTCACAATCCGAAAATCACGGTGACGTACCTTATTTGAACACCCATTGCAAAAACCAGAAGTAAGTATTGAAACTGACTTGTCCTAAAGATAAATACTCAATATAATTAATTTTTAAACACCAATTTTTCAAATTGTTATTGAGTAAAGGAATAAATCTCAACCATCAATATTGCGGTTGAATGTCAATCATCAAATCAATGATTTTTGTTCAAAATTCAAAAATTGTCAATCGAATTTTATATCCAGGCCAAGTTTGTGATATCAAAAACAGCACAGAGTTCAGTGTCCGTTTGGTTTCATTCATCGCTTTTCAAATTCAGAACATCTTTGGAGTTCAATGAAATTAGATTTGCGGCAACTTCAGATTGGCACCCCACATTAATTCAAACAAAATATATCTATAAATACCACTTCCTTATCATATTTTCAGTTAGACAGAAAAACCATTAAAATCAGCTTGCAAACTCTTACAACTAATACTATGGGCTCCTTCAAACGAATTCGCTTCAACAAACGTTTATCGATCAAACGGATAACCGGCCAGAAATGTTCCCTTTCGACTGGCAACAGTGAGAAGAGTACTAACGCTTTCACTAATGTTTATTCATTTTCACCACATCCTCCAATTCCCAATCCCTCAAAAGAGTTGTCTATCTATCTTTCAACATTGAAAAGCTCTGAAAAAAATCACTATCTACATCGCCAGAATAAATTCGAAAGATATTCAAAAAGGAGATTAAATGGCTTCATGGCATTTCGGTCTTATTATTCGAAAAAAATTATTGGAGTGGCAAAACAGAGAGAAATATCGACTGTTCTAGCAAAATTTTGGAAAATTGAAAACCACCAGGACACATGGAAAACATTAGCACTAGTTTACAACTCACAAAAACGAAACATATCATTCACTGATTGGTTAAACATAACTCAACAAGAAAATGAAAACCATGATAAAACAATGGTTCCCAGTGAAACGCCATTCAATTCCACAAAACCATTAGAAGGAACAATTCAAGACATTTATGAACAGTCAACTAAATGGGAAACTAGCGACCAACCCCAAACAAAGCTAAATTTTGCTCAACATACAATTGATCCGTTAATCGTTTTAGGTTCAAGCGATTTTGAAGACTATTTTCTATGCTAGTAAAACATCATTAGGAGTTAATCAATTTAATCTTAGACCACTATAAATAGATACAGCCAAAAAACAGATAACCGCCAACCTCGTTGTTCCAATCTGGTAAAATACAATAATATGCTGTAAATATTTTTGCTCAGTTTTATGGAGTTTGGAATTTCACAATTGAATTTGACGAAACCTCATCGAAGCAGTGTGTAACATATAGCTACTGTCATATTGTGCAAATATAGGACACGATAAATACTTGTTCAAAAATCAACGTTTCTGATAATACTCCTTTAAATTTGTTTGATGATATATTTCGTAAGACCACACCTCAATTCATTCCAAACTATGTTCAAATAGAATAGATATTATCAATCGGATTAAATAACTCACTACCTACATACGATTCAATAAATATTACCATTCTCCGGTCAATCTGGTAAATCGGTGAATCCCTATGAAATAAGGTATTCAGATATTACCGCAGCAATAAATTCAACCCTCCGTTCTTACGCATCTTGATATAAAACAGGCCATTAATTTGATTCAGGGCGTGGATGAACAAACGTGTAGAACGACATTCTGGTTACCGTCTCTAATGTCTACATTTGTTTCCCAGCTGTGGGCCACACCTCTGGTCCTGTGACGCTCTGTGTCTAACCCAGTCCCTTATAACTATAGCTGCCAATCTCATCATTGCTCTTCTGTCTTACATACTGCTTCACCTTATAAGACGATCATCGATTTGCTACAACAGGATATGAGCGAAATTGAAATTGTTCGCGGGTAAGAGTCAAAAAAATTAATCGATGGTGCCATCTGTACCTTTTACGCGACAGTTTCACATGTCTATGCTGCTCTGCTCGGTCCGTTGGCTCAAGCCTTTTTGAAGAATTCCTTTTGCTGCTGATAAAGTTGATTTAAACAAAACCAAAGCTGTTGTGCATTCCATTTGCCATACGATTGTTGCTGGCCGATTAGCCAATTCTTTACTGCATCAAATGCATTAAAATTAGTCGTACAGCCGTCAAGTATTTCATAACCTGATGACTCCCTATTGTGGTAATCGAGTTGAGGCTGCCATTAATATAACTCGTAACGATTTGTTGATTAGTGGCAAAATCAATTATCAAATAAAACAAAATTTAATATTATTTTCAATGAATCCTTTGCTACATCTTCCTGCACTATAGCGTTGACAAGGCCGCTGCCGAAATTATCGCGCATTCTACGTTATTCTCCACGTTGATTCAAACGGCGAATATTCAGTCTTCGGGGTATCACTAACATTCATTTTGTAAAAAGAACAATTACAAAAGCTGCAAGTTCGCTGACGTATTTGGGGGTCGCCAGCCTTTAGCAGCCATTGTTGTTGTTTGTAAGAGACCAAACTAACGGCCGATTTGATAAAAATTGAACTGGTATCCTTGTTCGGATCATCGAATCATCTGGCGTGAGTGCACGGCGCCGCAGCCAGCGTCCGCTGGATCATCATTGGCAGCGAATCATACTGCTTCTGTGGCTAGTCTGAGTGCTGGATGGTTCAGCGGTCCCTGATCACTTGCGTGTTAAAAGTAACCAGCTTGCTCTATTTAAATTTTAGATCATTGGTCTTCTCCCTTGAAAGTGTTGTACAGATTGGAGCCACTGGTAAATGGCTACCGGCCTCAAATCCTTCACCATTCTTGAATCCTTGCTCCGGTCGGCTTATCGTTCCTTTCAGAATAATTAGCAATGTGACTGATCTGAATAATGTTGGCTAGAATCTCTTCGAAATGCATGCTAATCTAAAAATTCATTTTGAGGTTTTTCAGCTTCATGCACTGCTGGATCGAATTCATTCAAAAATCTTTTCATTACTTCTTTGGCGGATGAGCTGGCCGGAATAACAGTTCAGGAATATATGAATGTTTTGTTTGCCATTTGTAATTTTGCTAGTCAAATAAGGTGAGCTATTCTTCCTCATTGATTGACGCAATAGAGGCTGCGAGCGCTGGAGCAAATTCTATGCCATTGTTGCCGCTGGTTATTAAAATTCTCAATCTGCTCAGTCGGAGAAACTTCCAAGAATATTAGTATGTCGTGTCCAAGACAGGTTGCAGCTCTGGTGCATTGTTCTTATGATGGTATGACTGAAACAATCCCAGTCGTTTCTGATAAGGAGTGCTGTGTATTTGTCAAAATTGATGAGCAATCTTCAAAGTATGTTTTTCCTCCTTTAATTACTACTGGAACATGCGCTGTTGAGAGGCTGGTCTACCATATTCAATGTACTTCACGACTATTCGTTGAAACAGCTCCTTCAGTGGCATCTAATTTGAAGTATGTGTCCAAGGGGATCAATGATTGTCACCCATCCGTAGAAATGAAGCACTAAATGTCGGCCTTATATCGGTCCCATTAACATGGGGACGGACTCCGATGGCAAAGATTAGATTTGAAATCCGCCTGGATTTTGTCAAGCAATGTAGTTGCTACTGATATCTTAAGAACTAAAGCGGTATCATGAGGTCTATTGTAGATGAACTTACTTACCACAGAATAGGGAGCTTAGTTGTCTATCGGTTGAATCATTCCATAGAAAAGCATCAACAGCTGCAATGGTGAAATTGCTTGAATGTGCTGCGTTTGCCTTGATCTCCAAATAGTTTATTTAAGTGAACTTAGGTGATACCTAAGTGCTGAGTGGTTCTGTTGAATTTGTGATGAGCTCAATCGTCAACGGAGTATAGACTTCTCTTAAAAGTAGTGTTGCTGTCCGTTCTTCTCATCGATTTGACGAAAGCAGTTGTGCTTTCGCAGATCCAATGTATTTTGGGATTTAGGGACTGATTTGGTCGGCTGTTAGAGCTACACCAGTTGTTGCTGGTCTTATGGGGAAATATACGTCTACTGCTAGTAATGATAAAGGCTTCAGCACAGGTATTGGTTGAAACGAGTCGTCAACACATCGTTTTGTTGAAAATGATGACCGGCTTCTTATCAGCTCAAATGATGAAGAGAAATTTTTCTTAACGACAACGAATTGAACTCTGAGAAACTTGTCGTACGGACTGATTATACTGCGCTTGTTTGCTGCTCTTATCACAGGTGCTGAGTTTGATATTGATCAACTTGCTAGAACAAAAAGAGTTCGTCATGAAAATTTGGATGACATTGAAAATGCACATAGATTGTCTACAAAAGGCTGAACACGGATCATCTATAGAAGATCGCTTCAGCGTAGTTCGCCGCTGCCATATGTCGTGCAACTATGTTTAACCCAAATTTTGAAGATGTAATCAGAAAACATGTTTCTCAACCTCTGCGTCCCGAGACGTTTGAGAACAATTCTGTTTGATTGGTGGATCATTAATCTGAAAAAAGACTTTAGGTATTTGGTGAGTGCTTCAATGAAGTCGCCACCGACTACTGACTTTTCTAAAGAGAAGCAAGCTGCTTAATGTTTTTTTCAGCTTTACGCTATTGAGAAAATTGAAGCATTTAGTAAGTTATTTGGTACAACATTCTTTCAGTCGTCATTGCTGTTGCAGCATCACCACGATTCATGGCTCATCACGTGGATGCGACAACAGTATTTGGTCATGCTGATATCGACGCTGTAATCTGCATTAATTAGTGTTGTAAATCAGTCATCGGTGAGTACTCTGTGAAAGTTTCGAAGTAGCAGAACTGACACTAACATCTCAAGCAACATTTTTGTTGCTCATAGTAGAACATGCGAAACTCTTTTCAGTCGTTTGGCTTCCTAAGAGTTTCGCCAGAAAGTTGTCTCGTTTCCCATTCAAAGATCAATCATCACCGGAGGCATGACCCATCTGAGGATAATCATATCATTGGTCCATTGTCAAATAAATTGGTCAAGATAGTCGAATCATATTTGTGTTCAATGTTTATAATTATAAATATCAAATAGTTCTGCGTCCCTTTCCTACAGATGATGCTGTTGAGTAAAACGAAAGTGCTTAGGAATCGACAAATGCCTACGTTTAAATGAAGGATCAACGGTCTGAAGTGGCGGAGTCCTATTTGCAACCAACATCAATGAAAGGCAACCCATAGCCAATGCGATTTAATAAAGATGGCTGTGAGCTAGACGCTGAAAAGTCACCCCCTTCAGATCATTTGTTGAGTTGATGTATTCAGCTGGGAATTGTATATGGTATGGTAGAACTTTCACTGTTGGGTTACTTAATCCAAATTGTTGTGCACCATCCATGATGCACTTCAGTTGTGCCAAAGCACTGTCAAGAGAGATAAACTTAATCTCATCAAGTGCTTATTGCACAACAGTTTCATCGGTCGGGTTAGTTGGCTACTCAGGGTGTGATTGTGCTGAAGACACTGGCGATCGCAAATCAGTTGGTGGATGTGTGATCTTCAATAATCAAGAGGCAGTAAGTAGAATGTGCAAAAGATGACCTTCAGTGGATTTGCTGGCATGTGAAGCCGAGTACATTTCACTCACCGAAGGAGCTAAACAAGTTGTGATTCAAAAGCAGGTCTTCAAATGCTTTGGTGCAACTGCTGGTAATGCCATTTTTTATTGCAATAGCACTTCTTTTAGCAAGTTGGATGTTCACCCAAGACATCACAAAACCACCATGCATCATAAAATCGACGATCGTTTTATAGAACGGCTGTGCGATGTTGGCTTAATTGTTACAAGAGTTGATACTAAAAGTAATGTTGCTGCTATGATGAATAGCGCGCTTAGCGCTCCAGAACCAACATGTTTCAGTTATTTGCCTCCATGCATCAATTGACGATGGTTCTGGTTGTGTTGTTTACGTCGTTTGGGTTGTATCTAATTATCACTGTCAGTTCGTTTCGTTGATGACTATTCAAAACTGTTGTAAGATATTGGATTCACTGAGTGGAGTTAAGTTACTTGCACAGCAGTTTCAATTTGATTCTATTTCAGGATTCTCTCTTCATTTAAAAATATTTATACTGGTTTGGTAAAGTTCTTTTAAACAAATTGATTGGATCAATTCGTCGAATTTCTTAATCATTTG